CCCATTTTTTTTGGGCAAGCCCGTGCTAATTTTTTTCTTTTCTTTACTTTTTAGTGACGGAAATTTCGTTGCCATAACTTAAAAATTCTATCGCTAAAAGGGGTTTTAATATTGGATTTTTACCGACAGATTTATTCTGTCGGGAAATTAACGGTGACGGGAATTTTTCGTCGCCAATAAGTACTTGTCCGTCGGTATAAGATCTTTTACCGATGAGATTATAGCAACGAAAATATCCGTCGCTATAAGTCAAAGTATAGCGACTGAAATGTCCATCACTATACTTTTTCGTGGTTAATAGTCATATTTCTAGTAGTGTATATTTTCAATGTACTGTTAGGTTGTAAATTATCAGGATTGTTGTAAATTTTATAATTTTGAAGGTTTTATTTTACAATTTATAAAAAGTTCAGAGTGTGTATTGCAAATTCCATAAATTTTTGGGGTTGTTTGTGTTATTTGTAGGTTTTTAGTGTTTTTATATGTTAAAAAATTTCAAGGTATTTTTTTATAAATTTTGAATTGTTAGGGGTGTTTTTATAATTTTTAAAACTTACAAGATATTTTCTCCAAAGTTAAAAAACTTTTAGTTTCTAGTTAGCATATGTTTTTTAAATTTCTCACTGAATTGAAATAAGTAAAAATTTATAATTTTCAAGATGGTTTAATAAAATTTTACATTTGTAGGGGTGTTTTTCTAATATAAAAAACGTGAAGAATATTTTTTACAAAGTCCAAAAACTTTTAGGTGCTAGCTAGCATATGTTTTTTTAGATTTCTCTACGAACTAAAATAAGTAAAGGATTTAAATTATATGAAACATATCTCTTGTATCCAATAACATGTTAATTCTCGTTATGAATAGAATAAATCATTTAGTTACCAATTCAAAGAAGATATGATAATTAGAATAGATTAGGATAATAATATAATATTAAAAAAGGGTAAGAATAAAATTGACAATAGAAAGATTTTCTCGAACTCGTATTTATAAAGAGAGTATATATATATATATATATATATATATATATGAGAAAAATGGAAAAACTTGGTACCAAGTTGCTCCAAACAACTTGGTAGTGATGTGGTCTAATCTTGTCCCTACATCTACATTGGAGTTGATGAATGGTGGTTGAGGCTCTATCTTCGAGGTGTGATGTAGGGGTAAGATTATGACACATCTATTGTGGATGATCCACTCGTATCAATTTTAACGGTTTTGAATGAATAGAACTTTTCACATGGCTCGATGGAGGGTCAAACGACGACGGATTCACCCCAAACTTGGTGTGTTGGGGTTTTAGAATATGTAGATCAAGTTCAACGGAGCGGATCATCCATAATGTCGCTCAATCATGTGATTTTAGAGGCGTCAAGGAGGAAATCCCCTCCTATGACAAGGATACCCATTAATCTCATATGAGATTAATGGGTATCCTTGTCATAGGAGGGGATTTCCTCCTTGACGCCTCTAAAATCACATGATTGAGCGACATTATGGATGATCCGCTCCCTTGAAATTGATCTACATATTCTAAAACCCCAATACACCAAGTTTGGGTTGAACCCGTCGTCGTTTGACCCTTCATCCACTCGTATCAATTTTAACGGTTTTGAATGAATAGAACTATTTACATGGCTCGATGGAGGGTCAAACGACGACGGATTCACCCCAAACTTGGTGTGTTGGGTAAATATTCCAAGGATGCTCCCATTCAAATTTGGATTGAAGGAAATATGGAGAGGGGGATTTGAGCTCAGATTCAAAATCAGAAAATTTAAACGACTACAAATAAACACTTCAATATTTAATTCTTAAGAATATTTGGATCCATTTTGAAGAAGCAAATAGATGTAGGGATTTTATGATCGAAGAGACATGAAATATTTTTTAATGAAACTTTCTTTTCTATTTCTGATGTCATATATGATATATTGCACTATACTCACCCTTGGTTAGGGCTTTCCATCCAAAAAGAAGGGCATCAAGTACGAAGTGAATCCTCAAGAAGCTTCTGCTCTCTCTCCCTATAGCCCGGATGATGCTAAATCAGAGAATGTTTGTTGCTGATTGATAAAAAATCGAGAATTGAATGTGGGAATTAGTTACCAAAGCAGGGTGGACTTTCTGTGGGTTGCTTTTTGAAAAGTTTCTGGTGAACATGTTTTTATATGATTGATTTTTGCATGTATTCGGTTTGTATTTCAGGAGTTAGAGAAGAACTTATGGGTTCTTTGTTTTTTTGATAAACCAGACCGTCGTGTGATTTTTCTTATTTGCGATGAGTGATGATAATGTTCGCTCCTTATCCACAAGAATAATCTAGCGACAAGATTTATTTCATACATAGAACCGCAAGTTCTCTTCATAACTATCGTTCTTGCAATTTATTTCTCTCTCTAATGAATATCTTTTGGATATGGCAATTGTCCTAATTTTTACTTCAAAAAAAATTAAAAAAATCTTTGAAGAAGCAAGTTCGAAGTGAGATTGGAGAACTTTAGAGTAGAATTCAAATAAGAATACCTTGCTCGATCCAATTTGATTCCTCTTATACTTGAGAGATTGGAGAATTTTAGCGTAGAATTCAAATAAGAATACCTTGCTTGTTCCAATTTGATTCCTCCTATACTTGAGTCAGACAAGGAACATTTTAAAGAAATAAACTGTAATTGCTATAGTAAGTAGAAGTTATAGAAATTATATACTATCGTTACTATTGGTTGCAAATCTATATGTAAATTTTATGAAAATTTTGTTTTTCTCCGTGAAATTAGATCCCAAAACTAGTCCGCTGACTTCGATTTCATAATCTCGAACGAATACATAGTGCCCAATTTTTTTTGCTCGTCCAAATTCTTTGGGACTTTGTCATAGTTTTGTAAGTCACAAGAAAACCTCCCTAGATAATCGAGAAAGTATTTGTGACCCAATCTATAGTATTAAATGTGCATTCAAAGAATATTATCCGTGGATTATTGTGATAATATTAAACAATACTTGATATTTCTTATGTGCATGGTGACACACATTTATACAAGATGAAGACAAGCGCTAATAGAAGTAAAAAATAAAGTAGAGAATACACTACCTAATACACGATTATATGTTACCTAAAAGAGGATATATTATCAAGAGAATATATATTACTATCTTTAACAACACCCCCTCCCCCTAACCCCCGTTAACTCATGATGGATTGAAAACGAAGAGTTCAGATGAGATGAGTTGAAAGTGGTGACAACGAACAGCAAATCACAGGTGATTGAAGAGGTGGTGATGTTGCAGCAGTGATAAGAGGTCACACATGGTGGTTGAGAGAGGGAAGACTTACAATCGCGAGAGGGTGTGTGGTGACCAGACCAAGGTTGTCGGTGAGTGGAGAGTGAAATCAGACAATGGTAATCGGAGGTTACGCATGATGATTGTGAGGTGGCAGAACCTGTAGTTGTGAGAGGAGGGGTAGTGACAGGATCTAGGTCACCAGTGAATGGAGAAACTACGCGTTGTGATGTGGGGTTGCCACGGTGTGGGATATGATTTTATTGGCGGTTTGGGTGTGAATAAGGTCGCAATGAGGAAAAGGGGTCGAAGCCGGTGGAATGGTGATTGGAGGTCATGCATAGTGGTCACAAGATGGCAGAACCTACGGTCACAAGAGGAGGGGCAGTGACCGCATCTAGGCTGCCATCGAATGGAGAGAGTCTACGCATTATGATGTAGGGTTACTGACGATGGGTGTTACAACGGTGAGGGTTAGGATTTTGTTGGCTGTTTGGGTGAGAGTAAGATCGTAATGAGGGAAAGGAGTCGAAGCTGGTGGAATGGTGATCGGAGGTCATGCATGATGGTCACAAGATGTCAGAACCTGTAGTTGCAAGAGGAGGGGCAGTGACTGCATTTAGGCCGCCGGTGAATTGAGAGCGTCTACGCGTTATGATGTAGAATTGCTGATGTTGGGTGTAACAATGGCGAGGATTAGAATTTTGTTGGCGATTTGGGTGAGAGTAAGATCGTAATGAGGGAAAGGAGTCGAAGCTGGTGTTGAAACCGTTGAGGGGGGAAGCGTGAAGAAACCTCTCAATAGCACAGAGATCGAGGAAGAAGTTAAGAGGTCTTTCTAGGATAAAGGAGATGGCTGTGATACCATGATAAGTGTGAAAGAATGGTTGATATTTCATACATGCACGATGACCTGCATTTATACAAGATGAAGACTTAATATGGAAAAAGCGCCAATAGAAGTAGAAAATAAAGTAGAGAATACACTACCTAATATAAGATTATTTTTTACCTAAAAGAAAAGATAGGATATCAAGAGAATATATATTACTATCTTTAACACATTGAACATCTTTATATGTGAACTAATTCAATGATTGATGTCATTTGGGTTTATATTTATGCTACGGACTGGTATCTCGAGACAACCATATACACATATATGACATAACTTTAAAAAATAAATAAAAAATAAAACTAAATTTCACTTAGATTGGAGTGGGTTTTAATCTAAATATCCTTTGCATATTTTACTCTTGCATCTTGTCTATTTACATTAGATGAAGAAAGGGGAACCTGTTACGTTACTTATTAAAATTAAAAAGAGCATGCTATTAATCGTTAACATTATTTGCGGCAATCTTCATAATGTCGTCTTTTAGTGATCTAATCTCTCAATTGAGTTCTAATATAGACCCCTAAAGACAACTTTTGATAACAACCGCATGTGAATTAAAAATTCATTAGAATTAGCTTCAACACAAAATTCTTTACGTACCCAACAATTCTTATGGAGCACCAAAGGTGCGGGCCTAAAAATAAGGTAACCAACTAACTAACTACATAGTTATCTCCTATTTAATAAAGTAACCAACTAATTACTGAGTAATTATCTACTATCTAATATACAGCAAATATTACGTTATCAACAGACATCTTGATAACTCATGTGAATGAAAACCTCATTAGAATTAGCTTCAACACAAAATTCTAGGCCCTTTACCATCCTCTTCTTTTTCCTCCTCCTTTCTAAGTCTCTCGCCGACTGCGACTGCTCCTTCGCAACAAGCACGAGGCTCTCGTCCTCAAGATCACCGCAATCTTCTCCATCCTCATCGGCGGTTTCATTGGAGTCTGCATCCCGATCCTCGGGAAGTGGGTCCCAGCTATGCGTCCCGACCGCGACGTGTTTTTTGTGGTGAAGGCGTTTGCGGCGGGTGTTATATATATTGGCGACCGGATTCATCCACATCTTGCCTGATGCGTTCGAGAACTTGACGTCCCCTTGTCTGAGCGAGAAGCCGTGGGGGGAGTTTCCGTTTACGGGGTTTGTTGCGATGGTGGCGGCTATCGGGACGCTGATGGTGGATAGTTTGGCGACTGGGTATTTTAACAGGAGGCATTTTAAAGTTGATGATGGACAAAAGGGGAAGGGGGATGTTGATGTGCACGTGTATGAAGAGCATGTGCACGTGCACACTCACGCCGGGCATGGGCACGCTCATGGGAGTGTTGCTGGTGGTGGTGGATCGTCGGAGTTGATCCAGCATAGGGTTATTTCTCAGGTGAGCACATAAATACTCTATTTCTAATAGATTTTTTTTTTAAATTTCGTGGTAAGTTCATCAGAATGCTCTTGATGAATGCCTTTAACTTTGAGTTAATTGATAAAGCCTATTAATCTTTGGAATTTCTAATCAAGATTTCATTGGGTGTTTTATTTATTAGAAAGAACTTCTTCATTGTTTGGATTTTATCTATGAAGATTGTTCTCAATCTAGTAAAGGGTTGTGAAAAATTTCTCTATTAATTGTAGTAATTCTTTCAGTAGTTTTAATTAGATTTGATGGTTTCGGATTATTTTTTATGTAAACAAAAACTTGAAACCTTGAAAATCCTTCACTTTTGTATCATATTTACTCGTTTGCTCGAAGAGAAAATTATAGGAAGACTTAATTGCCGATATATGCTGCCATATGAATTAATTAAGTATGTGCACATAACGAAGACACACTGCAAGTGAATCAAGATGCTATGTACTATTCATTAGTCAACTTTCAAGTTTGTTGCTTGTAAATTAAAAAAATATATATTTCTGTATCTCGTACTGATTCAATTATGACCGCCATGATGTTAATATTCTTTTGTCCCCTTGTTGACTATTGAATGTAGTTAGAGCTTCCAATTTCAACTAACATTGATCTTACCAACTTTAGCCTTTCTTTTCGTTTTTCAAATAAAAGGTGTAGGATAATGAAATACACAAGATCAAGAACAAAGAAATACATCCAAAATATAATATATCCGTATATCACCAATAATTTGTGAAGAAAATTCCTATTTGAATCTTTTTCTAAGTGTTGACAGTTTGAAGAAAATTCATATTAATCGATTTAGCTATTTGTCTAAATCAGTAATTATCATGGTCTCAGTTATTATCATGGCTTAAACTTTCTGCTTGTTAACGTACCCTTTGTTTTAAGCATGTCAGGTTTGCATAATTAGTGATCAATAGATTTGGCATTTTTTCTGAGATATGTGCGGCTTCTTGAATTGGGTATTGTTGTTCTTTCTGTAATTATTGGAATATCATTGGGTGCATCGAAGAGCCCCACAACTATAAGACCTCTTGTCGCTGCTCTGACATTCCATCAGTTTTTTGAGGGTACAGGTCTTGGAGGATGCGTAGTGCAGGTATTGATTCATAGATAACTATAAAGATTATCTCAATATCGGAGCTGGTGCGTCGGACTCATGCACACCGTTCTGTCCAACAGGCTCTTTTGATTGAGGACTTTTTGCATTGGGTTCTTCCAAGAGGTTACTCGGGACATCATCTGCATCTACAAATGTGGTCTTGCTCTCTGAGTCATCTATCTTATGCATGTCCTTGTACATCACATTCTCGTTGAATATCACATCTTTGCTCCTGGTCACCTTCTTGTTTTCATTGTCCCAAATACGGTAGCCGAACTCATCTTCACCATACCCGATAAATGTGCGTTTTTTGGACTTGTGATCAAGCTTATTCCTGCCTTGATCACTAATATGTACATAGGCTACACAACCGAAAATTAACTTTGAGATATGAGAGGCTAACCTCCTTTCCGCACCATACCTCCTCTGGTATTTTGTGCTCCAATGGAACCGATGAATCTTGGTTGATCAAGTAAGCCGCTGTGTTGACTGCTTCTGCGCAGAACTGCTTCAGTAGACCTGACTTTATCCGAATGCTTCTGGCTCTCTCTGTCAATGTTCTGTTTATCCGCTCAGCTACACCATTGTGCTGAGGCGTGCTGGGCATGGTTCTCTCCATTCTGATCCTGTGCTCATAGCAGAACTTCTTGAATCTGGTATCTTCATACTCACCACCATTGTCTATTCTGAGTTTCTTTATTCTCAGACCGGACTCATTCTCGACCATGACTTTCCATCTCCTGAAAGCCTCAAATACTTCTGACTTATGCTTTAGGAAGTAGACCCATACTTTCTGAGAGTGATCATCGATAAAAGTCACAAAGTAGTGTTTTCCACCAATGGACGCGGTGGTGGTTGGTCGCCAAACATCTGAGTGAACGAGCTCTAGCTTCTCTTTTCTAGGGGTTCTGCCACTTGTCTGAAAGCTAACTCTCTTCTGTTTTCCAACTATGCATTCTTCACATATATCAATCTCTACTGATTGTAAACCTGGAAGTTTTCTCTTTGTGTGCATAATCTTTATCACATTTTCACTCATATGACCGAGTCTTTGGTGTCACAGCTTTGAAGTCTCATTGCCTACTACAACTGAGATTAAACAACGTGCACCTGCTGTCATATACAGGGTACCATTCTTCTTGCCTCGAGCAATTGTCATTGTGCCTTTTGAAATCCTCCAATCATCACAATAGAAAGTCGTAGTGTAGCCTTCACTAGCCAGCTGACTTACTAAGATTAAGATCCTTTTCAGGTCGGGAATATGCCTGACATCTTTCAGCTCCCATACCGACCCATTCAACTTAATCTTTACTACACATTTGCCAATAATGACACACAGTTGATCATCATCAAGGTATACATTTCTAAGGTTTCTAGGGATATACTTCTCGAGGAATTCTTTCTGAGAAGTAGCATGAAATGATGCTCCAGAGTCCAACACCCAAGACTCCTCCTTGCTCTCCAAAGAGCATATCAATGCATCATCTCCTCCTGAGGTGGAAGCAACATTTGCATCTGCCTTTGCGTCCCACTCCTTGTGTGCACTCTTGCACTGATTCTTATAGTGCTCGGTGTTCCCGTACTTCCAACACTGGATAGCCTTCAAGCTGTTGGAATTCCTGGATTTAGACCTCATGTCCTTTGATCAATTTCTTCTGGTTGAATTTCTACCTCTTGACTCTGTATGTAATACTAAAGAGGTTGTAACTTCACCCGACTCTCTCCGTCGGATCTCCTCACTGAGAACCAGATCACGAACGTTATCGAACTTCAACTTGTTGCTTCCCGACGAGTTACTCACCGCTGTGACTGTAGTATTCTAGCTTTCTGGTAGGGAAGACAAAAGGATCAACGCTCGTACTTCTTCATCAAACTCAATATCAACTAAACTCAATTGGGTCGTGACTGTATTGAGTTCATTGAGATGATGTGCTACCGATGCATCTTCCGTCATTCACAGATTGAATAACCGTCTCATCAAATGAACTTTATTTGAGGCTGATGGCTTCTCATACATATTTGAGAGTACTGCCATAAGACCTGCCGTGGTCATTTCCTTTGCAATGTTAAAAGCAACATTGCGGGTTAACGTCAAACGAATAACCCCGAGGGCCTTTCTATCTAGAAGATTCCAATCTTATTCCTTCATACCCTCCGGCTTCTTCCCTGAAAGAGGTTGATACAAATTTTTTTTGATACGGATAATCCTCTATATGCATTTTCCAGAATTCGAAATCTGTTCCATCAAACTTCTCAAGTCTCACTTTTCCTTCATCTGCGGCCATGGTTCCCACTTGAATCTGACTTCCTCTAGATCGTTTCACGCTCTGATACCAATTGTTAGGGAATATCCGGGGCTAAGCTAAACCCCTAAAATAGTAGAAACGCGGTATAGAGTAAAGTACACTAAGTTTAACGAGGTTCGACAACTGTCAACGTCCTCGGGAGCCACACACAGTAATTTCTTTATTAATCTCAAAGATATTACAAAACTTAGAGCAGATCTCAAACTGAGATCTCTCAATAAATGCAGATGATCACTGTAGCTACAGTGAAAATCCCCTTCATCTATTCTCTCTTTTCTTCCCCCTCAAAACTTCTCTTCAGTGTTGGGAAATAGAACCCTCTCTTTAATTCTCCCCTCAAAATTCACGAGCTCTGGAGAAAAAGAGGAATGAGCAGCAGATCAAAATCGTCGCCGCCGCTTGGGAGAGAAAATGAGAAGGAGCAGAAGCAAAAGGGGGCTAGGGTTCTGGGTCCCTTTTATAGGGGAACCCAAATGCCAAGCTGGCGATAGGCTGTCGCCAACCACGCCTGAGCTCGACCTCGCCTGCGAGCGAGTGCACTCGAGCTCGCCTGTGCGGTCCTTACCTGCGTCGACCTCGCCTGCAAGGAGCCGCTCGACCCCGCCTGATTTCGACCACGAGCTCCGACTGCATCTTGTCGTCGACTTCGCCTGACCTCGCTCGAGATCGCCTGCTTTTGGACCTCGCCCGCTCACGAGCTCTCCTGCATGTTTGGTCTACCAAACCAACAATATCATCAGTGTATAACGAGAACAACCCAACTGCTCTCATAGCCGAAGGCATTCTCAATGCAGCAGCCATGGGGATTTTGATTTATATGGCACTCGTCGATCTTCTTGCTGCAGACTTTATGAATCCTAAGGTTCAGGGTAAAGGAATTCTTCAAGCAGCCATTAACATGTCGCTTTTAGTAGGATAGGATTGATGTCTGCAGGGCCTGTTCTGAGTGTTTGCAAGCTGATCGACTACACAGGGTCCCCTAAAATTAGGGGCCCTAATTTTTTTAAAAAAAATATCTTCCCCTACCCCCTTCCCTGATTCCCTCCTCAAAATCTTCCCTTGTGCTTCCCCTTGCCTCTCTCTCTCTTCCTCTTAATCTCCTTTCTCTCGTTCTCACTCTCTCACATTCGTTCTCTCTCTCCCCTTCAAAAGAAACCCAAATCCCTAGGCTCCAGCTCTCTCTCCCTCCTCAAAATCCGCCTGTTTCCCTCTCCATCAGCCCCCATTCGCCGCTACAAAGACCAAGAGCAGTGAGATCGCAGTAATGGAGCTCAGCAGAGCATAGTCAACCGTCGGGGTCCGGACCCGAGCGCAAACCCTAGCTCTCCAGCGCCTTCAGAGCGACTCTTCGTCTTATCTCAGAAGTCGCCGCCTCGAGAAGCCCAAGGAATTGTGCAGGGAAAGCCCTAATAAATCCAAGTCAGCGGTGTCTAGCCCTAGCTCGAACGGGGAAGAGGTCGAAGCTTCGTTTGGGGAGAATTTTCTCGATTTTGATCAGACAAGGTGCGATTTTTCTCTCGTGATTTTAGGTCTTGGGAGGTTTCTGGAGATGGGTTTTCCTTAAGTCTTTTGATTTGTGGAGGAAATTTCGCTCCTCTTTAGACCATCTCCAACCCATTGCACCAAAATGGTGCAAATTTTGCATCAAAATGGTGCAAAAATCACATCAAACAGTAATACATCTCTAACCCATTACACTATTTTTTGCACCAAAAAAGAATATTCTCAGTATATTCTCACTTTATTCCATTTTATCTATTTTTATATTAATTGAGAGGTAAAAACAAATATTTAACATTTTTTTAAAAAAGTGACCAGTAATTGGGCGGATGAACAGTGCGACGCCATATTTGGTGCAGCACTGTTCATTTGCACCAAAATGGAGCAGAAAATGGGGCTGGATTGGAGAAGGAACAGTGCAACAAAAAGCACTGTTTGTACCAAAATGAGGCTGGGTTGGAGATGCCCTTAGAGCCGTAAAGTTTTAAAGTCGGTTCTTTGCGAATTTTTTGGAGCTCCATGCCCATTTGCTATTACTATGTTAGTGTGATTAACATTTTTTTTGGGTCTTGTTGAGATTTTGAAACATGACACTTTTTTGTCTGTAATTTGTGATAGTTTTTGGTTAATTTATGTTTTTTTGGAAGTTTTTGGAAATGGGTTTTTGTTGGTTTGATTATTTGTAGTAGAAATTTTGCTCCTTTTTGCCAGGTTATAGATTCTTCTGGCTTTTTATTTGTCTACAAGTTAGAAAATGTTGTTTTCTAAATATTATTTTGGTATTTCTGAGTTCTTTCTCTATTAATTTGTTTTTGAGGTTAAAAAAAATCTTTTCTTTCCTTCGCGTTTCAATTATTTTTTCTATTTCCATTGTTTTAGTTGTCCGAGCACTTCAAATTCATTTATAGGCGGTATCTTTTTATGGTATTATTATTATTTCTTGGATGCAGTAAAAAAAAGGCCATTTGCAGTTTTTTTCACTTCCGCCTTTCTATCAGTTGATTCTTCTGATAAATTGTACGGTTTGCACCGACCTTTGAACACTATCTTCATTGCAATATTGAAATCTTGCTCTATTTCAGTGGTGTGATTCTTGTAGGGCCTCCTTCTTTGATGCTCATTTATTTCTTTGCATCTAACAATATCTGAACTCAATGCTTATCTGCTATGTTAGTTCAATCTGAGGATTAATCAGTACTTCCGAATCTTTTGACTTCTTTCAATTTGATTTGATTGTAGTATACTTTTCGCACAGGGCCCCTAAAATCTCAGAACCAACCCTGGATGTCTCTGTTGGCTAAGTGAGCCTGATACATGTATTTCATAGGTATTTCATCCTATTTTTGGAGAATTTCATTCTTTTTTTTTAACATTTTGATGAAGGTTGTCTGTGTTTTCTAAATCTCCAGATTGAGTTTAAGTTCAGACATACCACAATTTAGATTGTTTGCGCTTTATTTGGCTTGACTGATCTTTGTGCTTTATGAATATTGGCACTGGGTTTTTGTAATTAGTAGTTTGATACTTGTTCTGAATTTCAATTGTTATGTTTACCTTTTACTACGATTGCAAAGCTTCAATGCTCACTAAAAAATTATTTCACTAATAGTTAACTCTTCATACTAAAATAAAAACAAGTATCAAACTACTAATTACAAAAACCCAGTCCCAATATTCATAAAGCACAAAGATCAGTCAAGCCAAATAAAGCGCAAACAATCTAAATTGTAGTATGTCTGAACTTAAACTCAAATCTTGAGATTTAGAAAACAGAGACAACCTTCATCAAAATGTTAAAAAAAGAATGAAATTCTCCAAAAATGGATGAAATACATGTATCAGGCCCACTTAGCCAACAGAGACATCAATCCTGCTCCTACTAAAAGCGACATGTTAACGGCTGCTTGAAGAATTCCTTTACCCTGAACCTTAGGATTCATAAAGTCTGCAGCAAGAAGATCGACGAGTGCCATATAAATCAATATCCCTGCGGCTGCTGCATTGAGAATGCCTTCGACTATGAGAGCAGTTGGGCTGTTCTCGTTATACACTGATGATATCCCTATGCCTATAGCGATTCCTACAGGCGTTGTGAGGGAGAAAAATAGAATCATTATAGCCATTGATCGAGCTTTGAATTTTGCCTGCAAAACGTAGGAAATAGTAGCATTTTCCTCAATTAGTATGCAAGTAGAATAGATAATACATTATTTAAAGGAATAATATCTCAATTAGTAAAACAGTAAATTTGTTTAAGGGAGTATTCTGCTTTTTCTAAAGTTCAAACCGAGGACTATATTAGGCATCCAAATCCCTGTTCATCTCTGCCTTACATTATGTTAAAACTATAAGTTTGTAAAGGGGACCTTCAAGCATAAGTTTAATTGAGAACAAGAAGGCCAGTCTACCTAAAGAATCAAGCATCCTTGACTAACATTTCGATGTAGTTTTCCGTGGTCATGCTTGCATCTTGATATTCCTCAGAAGTTTGAAACAAATTTGTTTCTCATGGAAAGCAATTTTTTTATTTCATTATTATTTTCTTTTTGGTGGTGGTGGTGGGTAGTCTTTAGAATATCAGTCTATGCTAGATTATGATAGAGAGAAAATACTTTACATCAAATGAAATCTTCAGATATAATAGTTTTTTCAATAATAAGTACATAATTCTGGGCTTCAAGTTTTGACTGGAACTACGAACCAGATGACTCGTAAACACAGGAAATGGAATAAGAAATCAGCTAGCAAATTCCAAATATTTTGATAATCTTTATAGTTATTTATGAATCAATACCTGCACTACGCATCCTCCAAGACCTGTACCCTCAAAAAACTGATGAAATGTCAGAGCAGCGACAAGAGGTCTTATAGTTGAGGGGCTCTCCGATGCACCCAATGATATTCCAATAATTACAGAATGAACAACAATTCCCAATTCAAGAACCTGCACATATTTCACAAAAAATTGCCAAATCTATTGATCACTAATTATGAAAACTTGACATGCTTAAAACAAAGGGTATGTTAACAAGCAGAAAGTTTAAGCCATGATAATAACTGAGACCATGATGCTTAAAACAAAGGGTATGTTAACAAGCAGAAAGTTTAAGCCATGATAATAACTGAGACCATGATAATGCACCCAATGACATTCTCACTTTTACAAGCAGAAAGTTTAAGCCATGATAATAACTGAGACCATGATAATGCACCCAATGACATTCTCACTTTTATGTCCTGTTGGAGTGTATCAAACTGTCAATACTTAGAAAAAGATTCAAATAGGAATTTTCTTCACAAATTATTGGTGGTATACGGATATATTGTATTTTGGATGTATTTCTTTGCTCTTGATCTTGTGTATTTCATTATCCTACACCTTTTATTTGAAAAACGAAAAGAAAGGCTACAGTTGGTAAGATCAAGGTTAGTTGAAATTGGAAGCTCTAACTACATGCAATAGTCAACAGGGGGACAAAAGAATTAACATCATGGCGGACATAATTGAATCAGTACGAGATACAAAAATCTTTTTTATTTTTTTACTTACAAGCAACAAACTTGAAAGTTGACTAATGAATAATACATAGCATCTTGATTCACTTGCAGTGTGTCTCCGTTATGTGCACATACTTAATTAATTCATACAGCAACATATATCTGCAATTAAGTCTTCCTATAATTTTCTCTTCGAGCAAACGAGTTAATATGATGCAAAAGTGAAGGATTTTCAATGTTTCAAGTTTTTGTTTACATAAAAAATAATCTGAAACCATCAAATCTAATTAAAACTACTGAAAGAACTACTATAATAGAGAAATTTTCCACAACCATTTTCTTGCTTGAGAACAATCTTCCCCCTTTCTTAATAGATAAAATCCAAACAATGAAGAAGTTCTTTCTAATAAATAAAACACCCCATGAAATCTTGATTAGAAATTCCAAAGATTAATAGGCTTTATCAATTAACGCAAAGTTAAAGGCATTCATCAAGAGCATTCTGATTAAATTACCACGAAGTTTAAAAAAAAAGGCAATTAGAAATAGAGTATTTATGTGCTCACCTGAGAAATAACCCTATGCCGGATCAACTCCGACGATCCACCACCAGCAGCAACACTCCCATGCGCGTGCCCGTGCCCGGCGTGAGTGTGCACGTGCACATGCTCCTCGTGCACGTGCACATTGTCCTCAACGTCCCCCTTCCCCTTTTGTCCATCATCAACTATAAAATGCCTCCTGTTAAAATACCCAGTCGCCAAACTATCCACCATCAGCGTCCCGATAGCGGCCACCATCGCAACAAACCCCGTAAACGGAAACTCCCCCCACGGCTTATCGCTCAGACACGGGGACGTCAAGTTCTTGAACGCATCAGGCAAGATGTGGATGAATCCGGTCGCCAATATAACACCCGCCGCAAACGCCTTCACCACAAAAAACACGTCGCGGTCAGGACGCATAGCTGGGACCCACTTCCCGAGGATCGGGATGCAGACTCCAATGAAACCGCCGATGAGGATGGAGAAGATTGCGGTGATCTTGAGGACGAGAGCCTCGTGCTTGTTGCGGTAAGAGGAGTCGTCAACGACAGAGCAGTCGCAGTCGGCGTGAGATTTAGAAAGGAGGAGGAAAAAGAAGAGGATGGTTAGGGTTTTCATCGTCGTTGGTTAAGAGAGAGAGAGAGAGAGAGAGAGAGAGAGAGAGAGAGAGGGGTTCTAGAGTTATTGGAGGGGAGAGGGGTTTATATAGTTAGGGAGGAGAGTATGATGACGACATGGTGATGAAAGCTATGGGTAAAAAATTTTGCGTTGAAGCTGATGCTAATGAAGTTTTCATTCACATGCGGTTGTCATCAAGTTGTCTTTAGGGGTCTGTATTAGAACTCAATTGAGAGGTTAGATCACTAAATGACGACATTATGGAGACACTGAAATTATGAAATAAAAGTCAAAGACAGCTGTGATTTTCAAAGATTGGCGCAAATAATGGTAACGATTAATAGCATGCTCTTTTTAATTTCGGTTTTTCTATAGAATACCCATGGGCACTCTATAAGAAAGAAAAGAGATAGAAAGAAATGAATGAAGAGGGGACCCCTAATTTGTATTGGGATTCCCTCCCCATTCATTTCTCTCTATCTCTCTCCTCTCTTATAGAGTGCCCATGGGCACTCTATAGAAAACCCGTTTTAATTTTAGTAAGTAACGTTACAGGTTCCCCTTTCTTCATTTAATGTAAATAGACAAGATGCAAGAGTAAAATATCTAAAGGATATTTAGACTAAAACCCACTCCAATCTTAGTGAGATTTAGTTTTTTTTTTTTTTAAGTTATGTCATATATGTGTATATGGTTGTCTCGAAATACCATTCCATGGCATAAATATAAACCCAAAGGACATCAATCATTGAATTAGTTCACATATAAAGAGGTTCAATGTGTTAAAAATAGTAATATATATTCTCTTGATATCTTATCTTTTCTTTTAGGTAAGAAATAATCTTATATTAGGTAGTGTATTCTCAACTTTATTTTCTACTTCTATTGGCGCTATTTCCATATTAAGTCTTCATCTTGTATAAATGCAGGTCATCATGCATGTATGAAATATCAAGCATTCTTTCACACTTATCATGGTATCAAAGCCATCTCCTTTATCCTAGAAAGACCTCTTAACTTTTTCCTCGATCTTCGTGCTGTTGTGGTGTTTCTTCACGCTTCCCCTAACGGTTTCGAAACCAGCTTCGACTCCTTTCCCTCATTACGATCTTACTCTCACCCAAATCGCCAACAAAATTCTAATCCTCAACATTGCTACACCCAACATCGGCAATTCTACATCATAACGCGTAGACTCTTTCCATTCACCGGCGACCTAAATGCAGTCACTGCCCCTAGGGCTGTCATCCGGGCCGGGCCGGCCCGAAAAACTGGGTCTGGGCTGAGCAAAACCAGAGCTCAGACCCGGGCCTGAGCGGGCCGGACTTCGGGTCGGCCCGGTTTTTTATTTTTTGTTTTTAAAATTTTTTTAATCTCTTTAAAATTTCAATTATACATAAAAAAATTACACAAAATTTTAATAAAAAACAATAATATTATTAATCACTTCAAATTACATATATTAAAAATACAAAATATTATAAAAATAAAAGATGATAAAATAACTTCTTTATTAATAATTAATAAATCCTTTACAAGTATAAATTTATTTCGTAATTCATCGCATCATAATAGATAAGTACATCTCAACTAGGTTGACATCTACTCACTCGTATTACTATTATTTGTAACTGTTTCTAAAATAATTCATTATAAATTTTTAGCTAAGAAATAAAAAATTACAATTTGATGAATATTGTTTAATCTTTATATTTATCTACTAGTCCCAACTCTTCAAATTTATCTTCAATTCTAGCCAACCGATCGATGTCTTGCGTTCTCTTCTCGTACCTCCACCAATCTTATAAGCACATCACTGCCTGTATAGTATACGGATCTAACGATATCTTATAGTTGTCAATCAAACATCCTGCTGTGCTAAAGGTAGATTCCGAAACTACTGTCGAAATCTGTATTACCATGGTGGAAAGTATAGGATATGAAACTGATCCATATACTCTCCATCATTGTAAAATATCTAAATTATTATTTTGATATTTAACTAAAGAAGCAGATAAATATTCATCTATTTTAGAAACCTCCAATGATGATCCAAGTCCAGATCTACCAGTTAGCTAAGCACCATAGCATACCTATCAAAACTTATACTTTTACCTCGACTTGAGCTCCAAGAAGCCGGAGTTGTAGACTGCTGTACAGTTACACCATGTTTAGCTGCATACTCATTATATAATGTTTGAAAATAATTTCTAATAGCATTATGATGAGAAGTAGCAGTAAGGGTGGATTCATTATCTAAGTTTATAACTTGATTACCATACAATGAATTTAACAAACTTCGAAGGCCAATATCTTTCAAACACGAATCAATAAGAATCCACAAACCAAAAATTATAGAAATAGACCTAAAATACTTATTAAATTTGCTTTTTATTTGAAAAATCATATCTACAAAAGTTCCATCCATACAATATTTACCAATTTTTTTTGAATATTTAAAATTTGTAAAGCAGCTAAATTGATGGTTGGATGATAACAGCCAGATAATAACATTGTAGCATCATAAAAAACTTGTAATATCTCTTTTAAATTACTTATAATTGTCCATTCATCTTTAGTTATTCCATAGGTGCTACCAGAGCTAGAACTAGAAGAATAATAGGTAATAAACTTATTTATAATTTTTTTATATTCTATCACTACACTTAACATTACATATGTGGAATTCCGCCTATGGTCAACATCTTTTGGAATTAGTCTATGCTTTACATTTTTTCTTTTACAGAATTATTTCCATCTTTTAATTCTTTGTTCAGAAGCATTATGCATATAAGTTATCGTCCTAATATTTTCTATCATGGGTTTAATTTTAGTAAATACACTTTGCACAATTAAATTTAAAATATGAAAGATATATCTAATATGAAAAAGATCACCATGACATAACAATGATAGAGATGTTTTGATAAAATCAACATCTACATTATTATTACTTGTATTATATCGTGAAAGAGAAAATATTCTTTCTAAAATTTCTAGTTTCATAAGTTCTTCAATTCTTAAATTTGTAACATTATTACCAGTATGTGACTCTTCAATTATAATAAAGGAAATAACTCTTTTAAACATTTGCTAATTTTCATCAATCCAGTGTGCTGTGATACATAAATAACCTATTTGTCCTCTAGATGTCCAAATATCAGAAGTTAAATAAAATTTATAGTTTAAACTTTGAAAATAAGAAATTGTTTTATTTATTCATCATGATAATGTTTTAAAAATATCACGTTGATAAGTTTCACGAGAAAAGTTTTAAATGTGGGGCAAAAACCATCTCTAAATAAATCTTTAAATTTATCATCTTCTACTAATTTAAAAGAAAGATTTTTAAGAATGATAAACTTGATGACGCATTTCCTAGTACGGGCTGCATCATAATTCTAACTACCGAGACTACCAGAAGATAAGGATTGAGAGATTGTAGATTGTCGGACATCACCTTAAGGCACCTGGCCTTTGTTGTGTTTATCTAAATGGCGTTTGAGGTAGTTGGTGCCACTCTTATGATGAGCTTGGAAAATCTTGCCGTACAACGCACACTTAGACTTTTGGGTGAGTATCCTACCGTGTTCATCCTTGGTAACGTCTATCTTCTCAAAAAAATTTCACACATCGGATCTCGGCCTTTTAGGAGCTCTTGGTGTAGAATCGTCACCACCGGAACTAGGATTAACATCGCAAGGATTAGTAGGATTAGCTGTAGTAGGAGGGCTCATTTTAAGATCGGAAGTTAGGTTTTGCTCTTCATAATCAGATCCGGAAGCCATTTGATTGAAGAATTAAAGAGCTAAAATGATTATTAGAGAGTATAAGAGAGTATAAGAGTGTAGAAGAGAGTATTAGAGAGAAGTAGATAAGTTTTGGTATGAGAAAAACAAATAAAAACCTCCCTCTATTTATAGAGGCACCCTTCTAGACAAATGACCAAAATACCCTTATTTTTGATCATTTGGGGGGTGGGGGGGGCAAAATGGTCAAAATAGCTAAAATAGCCGTTATAATTTCGGCCTATCCCGGCCCGGCCAAAACAATCATGAATGTGACAGTTAATGCCGGGTCGGGTCAGGCTGCTCGACCCGGACATTTTGCCCGGATAATGTTTTTATCCGGGTCGGGCCGGACGCCGATGAGGCAGCTCGTACCTGGGCCCAAAACCCTGTCTGGCCTGGGTTTTTGAGCCGGGCTCTGGACTGGCCGGGCTAAATGGACAGGCCTAACTGCCCCTCCTCTTGCAACTTAGGTTCTGACATCTTGTGACCATCATGCATGACCTCCGATCACCATTCCACCGATTTCGACTCCTTTCCCTCATTACGATCTTACTCACGCCCAAACCATCAACAAAATCCTGACCCTCACTGTTGTAACACCCATCGTCGGTAACCCTACCTCATAATGCGTAGACTCTCTCCATTCACTGGCGGCCTAGATGTTGTCACTACTGTTTGGGGTGAAAGTTGATTTATTTGTAGAATCCATTATAATTGTGTATCAATTATAAATTCAAAAGAGATAACCTTTTTATAAGATTACTCACTTATAATAATAAAACAAAAAAATTAAAACTCTCTTCAAACACACGCAGAGGACGTTTATCACCCGCTGCTTGCGTGAGATCTTTACTTGTACCGGGGACGCATTAGTCCATGGATTACCGCGGATCAGATCCGGTTGACAGAATAAAAATTTAATGCTCTTGCTTCATAAAGAAAACAATCGCAGAAGTGATAATCTCGACCAAGTGAGATTACGACTCTTCTCGAGAACAAAACAAAGTCTGATCTCAAGGAATGATGAAACGGGCCTCAGATCCTTCAAATAGCTTACCTTTATACTAGAGTTTGCCAAGATCTGCTAACTCTCCTCTAAAATTCATGGTTCACTCTCCAATTTGAAAGCACCTCGCCTCCAATTTTCAGATCCCGTGAATAAGGGCCCTAGGCTTGTAAGAAGCTTTGTTTTCAGATAAGATTTGATGATTTGGCCATATC